AGGCATGGTAGACATATACAGTTGAGCAACGCACGCCTGCTCATTTTATTTCGCCATAATAAGCCGCACAATGCGCATCTCAAACGCTAATTTCTCCAGTACTAGACTAGCAAATACTTCGTGTCATGCATAATCATAACTACCTTATGGCAAATAAACTCTAGTTCCTCCCATTCACTGCGCGTTTGTCTTATAAAAGGTATTTTGAAAATACCTCCAATGTTGTTGAATTTCTTCGATGTGTGTACAGTTTCCCCAATCTCCAAGCAACCGTGCAGGCGATGCCGCGGTACAGCGGTACCGGGCGCAGCGAACATAAAAACATGTGACGTCACGTCACCACTTCGTTGTTATGTTGTTGACAACAAGTTTAGCGTTGGCGCCTTGATTACCTGATTTTCGCACCTCTCTCTTGTTGGAACGCGCAGTCAAATGGGAAGGAACTAGAGTTTATTTTGCATAAGTAGTGTGATATGCATGACACGAAGTATTTGCTAGTCTAGTACTGGAGAAATTAGCGTTTTGGATGCGCATTGTGCGGCTTTAAGCAAATCTCATCAAACGCCGCCTCCCTGCGGTGTTCAACTGCCAGCAATCGGTATCAGAGAGAGCCACACAGCTTTTTTAGGCTGCCTAGCGTGATCCAACACAAGGTAAAGTGACGAGAGACAAAGGCGGACCACAGACGCTTGGAGCATTTTCAATAAAAAAGCAATGCTGAATAAAACACAAATGTATTTTACTAACCAATGTCTTAATGTTTCTCTACTCTCTTTCGCCTAGTATTGCCGTTAATTACATGTAAATGCCGGTCAAATGCTCCTCTGCAACACACAGGTACACCGCACGCACGGCGCTCGTCGCTACACATTTACACTTATATACATAATTATATCGCCGGCATCCAGTAGGCAGCTGTTTGAGTGGGGGTGGTAATTTCTCTTGCACTGTGCAGCATACTCTACATGAATAGCACCGAGGCAACATGTGAACAGAATATCACCAAGCCCGGCTTCTACAATTACAGTGTGCTGACATGATGCCTGTCCATTTATCTCATCGGATCCATGCACGGATAGAGAGATGGTATAATCAGAGACTGGGAGTGCATAACACGTGCTCGGATAACGTAGATGCGGACTCTCACTGTTCACCGATATACACCACTAACCAAAAGCAAACCGCAGGAACCGTCGATCGTAGGCATCCAGGCTTTTGTGGTTCTGAAAGTCTTTAGAGTATAAAATGGACTCGGCTAGAATGTTAGGTAGTCAATTCACGAGATCCTAATAAGTACTTGATGGGCAAAGTTGTGGTCCTGCCTCCATTCTCGTCGGGTGTCGATTCCATATGCCACGCAATTTCTCGAGATAGCGTGTTGGCTACGTTGTCTAGTGAATCAAAGTACTTGCCATACTACGTACACTACAGACAGTCGACAAACGTGCATACACTAGCTATTATAAAAAGCTGCGTTTGATAGCTAGAGTAGATGCAGTAAAATCGGTGAAATTTCTGAACTCTCACAATGTAAACAAACTCAAGTCTATGAACATAATTGTGTTGCGTGCGTGCCAATCTTCCCATCGCTCAAATCTACGAATCTTGCCGACTGTGTGGCAGCGCTCATTGAACTGTAGCACTAAAACCCACGCTGATAAACCTGTCTGGTAAATCGGATCCTCTTACTTCTAATATCTTATTGCAATAATAACACTATAGCCAATGTAAAATCGGTTGATTGTGCAGAGACGGCAGATACACGCGACACGTGTTACACTTTTTTGTAACCGGTATGGCCGGCGGCACGGATTGTAGGTAATATTGC